CATTACTGTAGAAGGGAAGACAGTGAATTTTGTCCAGGTAGATGGCCATTTACTGTTAACCATGTAATGAGAGGAGGAGAAACATTAACCTGGTAGATAGGTAGTGGGGAAAGTGGAAAGCTTCGACCTGAAAGGTTGATAAGAAGGGACTATGGAACTATTTGTTTTGCCCTTAACACTGTATAATAGTAGAGAGAAATGGGGGACACTATAACGTGGTTGATAAGAAGTGGGGGATGAGGGACATTATTAACCCGATAAGCATGAGCCTAGCTAGTAGGCAAGTCAATGAGAAAGTGACCAATTATATAGTTAGGTAAATCATCGTTATTAATATGACCTGGTATTACCTATTTAGATATTAGTGTGGTACTTAAGTTTAACTTTGTAAACAAGATGGCTTGAATTTGTGAAATAAACTGAAGCATTAAAAGTTACATCACGTAGTCGTTTGTTGAAATTTGAATTAATTAAACAATCAAAACATATGATACCAGCACAACCAATCAGGAGAGAGAATACATCACCTGTGTACCAGCACAACCAATCAGGAAAGAGAATACATCACCTGTGTATTTACTAGGTAATGTTCTTATCTGTCCACAGGTGATTGTACGTGGGGCGGGTCACATCCTGCCTTACGATCAACCAGAACGAGGCTTTGACATGATCCAGAGGTTTATAGAAAACAGATCCTTCCATTAGCGGCCGATTATGAAATGCTGAGTGATGTTATTTTACGACATCAGATTGATCAGATGAACAGCTGTAACTTAAGATGCTCCCTGTAATATGTTAACACATTGTAACCTGTCTAATGAGAACTCTGATAATCAGGAAACCTGTATAAACACTTAACAAGTAACTTAAGCTGAAGGTCCCAGCTTGTGTCTCTGTAGATTGAACCTTTCTTATCTGGAAGCCTGTATGATACGGAAACCTCGGTGATCTGGAAACTTGTATATTCCAAGTACTTAATTGGTTGTAGAGATGTTCCTACTAGACAGGTAACAATGTGATATTGTACTAGTAGGTAACTGTTGCTGAGGGGAGAGAGCAGGGGGTGAGGGAGTGATTTAACTTAAGGATCCCTGTCCCACTGACAAAGGGGACAGGGATAGTTAATATATGTAATGAAACCATGATTCTTCATAATTCCAACTGTTTTGAATGCAGTGATTTGATACATGCTTTTTTTAAGATTTTATAGTTTATATTGAAATATACAGTGTTGTTATCAAGATGATTTTGATATATATATTTATGTAGCTGATCAATGCTCATAATGTACATAAGATTTGGTGTGGTTTATGTGGAACAAAGACCATCGAAGTCGCAGGAAAGAATGACATGATAATTATTCATTGCAAAACTCTGAAACCAAGCAGTTAGGTTTGACACACCTCCGGTTCAAATTCTGCGACGTCCTAACTGTTTTGATAGGTGAATGCAACCGAACTGTAATATTTATTCCATTTAGTCACACAGCCTTCAGCATCATTCCTTTGATAACGCGAGTGCTTAATGGTGACACATTGGACAGTTCAGGATGGTTCATACTTTTCATTAAAAAAGATCATGTTGGACAAATAGTTTCTTTTCGAACATATTTTCAATGTTAACACAATGAGAAGGAAATAGGCTAATAATGTCTTGTTTGTTTGGTTACTCATTGAGCCCTCTAAAATGGTGTAGCTTGTGATGAGATGTGCCATTTAATACATCTTTAAGATGTCCTCATGTTGGCTTGGCTAGTGGTAAGGGATGGCATAGTAAAGATATCCCTTTTTGCACATAATATCAAATAACAAGATTAATATGTCCAAAATGTGATATGGTCATTGTACCTTAACGTAATACTGTACTTATAACCATTCAGATTGGCATTCTCCTCAATCATGCTTTTAGTTTTGACAGGTGTTTGTGTATTCAATATGTCTAATACTGCCTTGGGATAATCTATATTCATAACTTAATGCAAATCTGAGTGAGGAATTTCTCACAAGTGGTTTTTATCAGATATGTATTGAAGCAGTGTTTAGTTAGCTGTATTGGTGAATGAAGCCATACTTTGGGAGTGTAGTCACTAATTGCTGTATTCAGTACATAGAGGTTCCTCAATGAGTAGTCACTGATTGCTGTATTCAGTACATAGAGGGTCCTCAGTTAGTGGTCACTGATTGCTGTATTCAGTACGTAGAGGTTCCTCAATGAGTAGTCACTAATTGCTGTATTCAGTACATAGAGGATCCTCAATGAGTGGTCACTGATTGCTGTATTCAGTACAAAGAGGTTCCTCAATGAGTAGTCACTAATTGCTGTATTCAGTACATAGAGGATCCTCAATGAGTGGTCACTGATTGCTGTATTTAGTACATAGAGGTTCCTCAATGAGTGGTCACTGATTGCTGTGTTCAGTACATAGAGGTTCCTCAATGAGTGGTCGCTGATTGCTGTATTCAGTACATAGAGGTTCCTCAATGAGTAGTCACTAATTGCTGTATTCAGTACATAGAGGATCCTCAATGAGTGGTCACTGATTGCTGTATTCAGTACAAAGAGGTTCCTCAATGAGTGGTCACTGATTGCTGTGTTCAGTACATAGAGGTTCCTCAATGAGTGGTCGCTGATTGCTGTATTCAGTACATAGAGGTTCCTCAATGAGTAGTCACTAATTGCTGTATTCAGTACATAGAGGTTCCTCAATGAGTAGTCACTAATTGCTGTATTCAGTACATAGAGGATCCTCAATGAGTGGTCACTGATTGCTGTATTCAGTACAAAGAGGTTCCTCAATGAGTAGTCACTAATTGCTGTATTCAGTACATAGAGGTTCCTCAATGAGTAGTCACTAATTGCTGTATTCAGTACATAGAGGATCCTCAATGAGTGGTCACTGATTGCTGTATTCAGTACAAAGAGGTTCCTCAATGAGTAGTCACTAATTGCTGTATTCAGTACATAGAGGATCCTCAATGAGTGGTCACTGATTGCTGTATTCAGTATATAGAGGTTCCTCAATGAGTGGTCACTGATGGTTGGTTATCATGTTTATCTCACTCAGGTTAGCTAATTTTCAAATTGTATAAAGACACAATAACGTTTATATTATGTCTTTAAAACCACGTTTCCCTAGAAATACATTATGTCCTATGTCTGTTTCCAAAGGAGAACCCCCAGATAGGTCTCTGGATCCGCCAAACAAAGCAATGTTATATGACGTCACGATTAAAAGATGACCAATGAAATCACGTCTAAGGTGTTGTTCACTAGGGTAACCAAAACTGTTTAACAATTAACCCCTAGCAGGTTTAAACAATGAGTTGTGAGTGTGGAAACCTATTGTGGATGCGGGAGAAATTTATTTCTGATATTACATTTTTGGTGTAGGGTCGATAAGTGTGGAGTACCTCTTACCTGTTGATAAACGTATTTAATTAATTTGTAAAATGTGATTGAATCCTTCTATTGCATTTCCATGTAAAAGATCAATATTAGAATTGCCTCATATACCCATGTCTTACCCCTAACCTACTGTTCTTACGACTACTTCATCAACCACATCAATCTGTGAAGTGTACACATTTTGTGGCCTTTAAACAAAATCCATATATCATTGGTAGTCTAATGCATTTAAGTGGGGCGACACCTGAAGGGGTGTCACAGATGGAATGAAGTATAGAGGGCAATAACTCTGTTTAAACACAGGTAAAACAGCTATTTAACATGACATTGAAGAAATTGTTTGAGTGTTTTAACAAATTTTATCCCTTTGCCCTTGAATAAAGGTCAAGGACGTTTTCTTTTGTAAAATGTGTCTGGTATAATGCTGCTGTAAAGGCAAAGAAAAAGAAATGGACAAAATTTACCTTCGGACCAGGTGAACTAACAAGAGTAGCGTAGGGCGGAACAATATACGCCCGTCGAATGTCATATATTGTTATATATTAACTTGCATTAAAATAGGATTTGCATCACCTTAAGAGTGGCTAGCTAGCTATATATAGCATGCTATAAATCTCACCTTTCACTACAAAGTCAACGTCCGATTTTCTTTATGTTTCTAAAAGTTTGAGGAAAACAAGTAATCAATAGATTAGTCTCCAACTCATTATATTAACACAACTTGATATCATGATTATGAAGCCTACCAAGTTTCGAAGAAATCGATAGAAAACTGTAGATCTCCGGACAAGATTCAAGTACTAGAAATAAACAAAGGGCAACAACTTCCGCAAAAATAGTCGAATAACTTTTTCGTTCAAAGAAACATAACTATATATCATGACTATAACGATTTCCAAGTTTCAAAGAAATCGGTCGAAAAATGTAGGAGGAGATCGCCGGATAAAAATCAAATACTGAAATAAACAAAGGACAATAACTTTTGCAAAAATTGTCAAATCAAAATTCTTTTCAGGGAAACACAACAAAATGTCATGATAATAAAGCCTAACAAGTTTCAAAGAAATCGATCAAAAATTGTAGGAGAAGATCTCCAGAAAAAAATACTGAAATAAACAGTATACCAAGTTTCAAAGAGATCGGTCCATAAATGTAGGAGGAGACGGTCAATGCCGGTCGGACGATAATACTCCCGTCAAATTTGACCGGCGAATAAAAATGGGATCAGTGGACAGTTTCTTATTATCATTGCTACATATCTGTATTACCAGGGTGGAAACAGATGACTGTGATGTCATATACATGACATTTTGAAATCTTAGATGTTATGTCACTGTTTATCTATTTGAGAATTAGTGTCTGTTGCTAAAAACAACTATAAGCTGAAGTTTGGATAGGATTTCTGTTGTTCATCATCACTGTGTAGGACTGACACCGGATATAGCTAGTACCGAAGCGGGCATGGACGCTAGGCGCAGACAAGCCACAGGATGTTTTCCGATATTTCTGGTATTTTCTAGTACGTAGAGACAAGTAAAGGAGCACAACAGTTATACAATAAACAATGTTTTATGTGATGCAGATGATTTGTTAACTATTTCATGCGATCTGAAGATATTGGTAAGAAATGACTACAAAGCACCGGAACAAAATCAATTAAAAAGAAAGAAGATGAGATAACTATTAAATACTAAGTATGACATATACAATGATGAAACGGACGTTACTGGCATATGTAGATGATACCGGGATAATCATATAATGGTCATATGTTTAAATGTCGTCATTACGATGTAATTGACTTAAATGGTTCTTCGTCTGTGTACGGCGAATAGTTATTGATATATTTTCAAGTGTACGGCAGCTAGTATGTTAACAGTACGGCGAAAAGCTATACTAACATAACAATGTTTAGAGCGAGCATTTGTACTAGCTATGTTTTTATGTTGTTATACCATTGGAGTAACATACCAATGGTGTTGCTTTGTAACACTTTTGAATGATATCGTAAGGGAAGGGGTTAAGAATGTCAAAAGTCTAATGAATGTCGAGTTAAATAATGAGAAGGAGTACCAATTTTGCACATGCTATAACACAACTTAAGCTGTGACCTTGACAATAGCGGTGGAGAGTTTGAACTTTTGCTGTGACCTTGGCAATATCAGTGGAGAGTTGGAACTTTAGCTGTGACCTTGGCAACAGCAACTGAGTGTTGGAACTTTAGCTATGACCTTGACAATAGCGGTGGTGAGTTGGACCTTAGGCAGAAGGTGACATACTCTTTCCCTGTCACAACGTTATTATACAAGGGGGAGGGGTTACACAAGATATTTTAAGGGTGATGCAGAGAAAATCTGCACTAATACCTAGATTTGCAAAGAAATACACGTTGGTTAAGTTGATATATCCTCAATTTATTCACAGTTATCTGTAAACAGCAAGTGGTAAAGGCAATACATACATCTGAAAGTGTTAATATGTATACCTTTATAATTAACAGGCCATGGGAAAAGACTGTTTCATTCCTACTCAAGATTTCAAAGTCTATTCTAACTTTATTTTCATCAACTTTTAATAGGCACTTTTAAATTATGGTCTGAAACTGTTTTATAATTGGGACTTTAAAAAAATATTTTGCAACCCTAATATTTTGAGGGCTGAAAAACAGACACACATCTATCATTTTGGCCTATCCCTTTAATCTCTGACCTACCTGTACAACTGTATTGAGTGTATTGTTGTTTCTTGTAATCTGTGGTGTTCTACAACTTAGGTACAATAAGGTGCATGCATTTTACATTGTAGGAGATTTACAGTAATTGGGGAACGTTAGTTTAATTTAAGCTTTAACAAAATATATCACATTTAGGCAAGGTGTTCAATTAAATCCTGTATACTGTATACTGCGAACTATTCGCCATACACCAGATATGTAAAACATTCCTATTCGCCGTACAATGTATTGCTATTCGCCGTACAATGTATTGCTATTCGCCGTACAATGTATTGCTATTCGCCGTACACTTCACCAAAATTAGTTACACCAATATCTAAAGAAAGAAGCATAATATAGAGCGACTCCATGTATTATCATGACTATATAACTATAAGAAATCATCATAGCATATAAATGTATATAATCTACTGGCAAATATCAAGTCAAGACAATATTTGCTGTTGCGAATGAAGATTTAGCGGTACTAGGCAGACTGTTTTTGTAAATAATTTGCAACTTCACCAAAATAATTACATGCCTCCTGTTTCAGATATGATTTACATCTATGTTTGACTGTCGTGCTTCTTTATTTGTCTCTACACTACCAGAAAATACAAGAAATATCGAAAAATTAACGTGATTTGACTACCCACAGCTTCCATGCACATAAACGCAAAGTACTATATTCAACACAAAATCCAACTTTATTGAAGAAAATGTGGAATTATTGGACTTTTCATTTTCAAAATTACTTCCCTTTGTTACTTGTTTGAGAGGAAAATTGATCAAAATACACCTTTCAGAGTTTCAGGGAATACACGGTAACCCGACATGTCGTTTTGTTCATCGTATCATTTTCTAGACATTCACGGGTTTTTTTATTGAACTTAAAATTAAAAACCTTTCCATATGATGTAGCAGACCACAGTATCCAGGCCTGGCCATGAATTTTTATACAATGTATAAATTTGTATAAAAAAAAAAAAAAAAAAAACCCACTAAAATTGATATTTGTCATTTTAAAGTGAACAGTGCAAGGCTGCATATTTTTCATAATATAAAATTTGTATTTGGTTCGAGATTTCAATTTGGTCAGTCTGTAATTTGCTCCAACAAAATCTCCAACACATGCGAAGTTTGCGAAAAATAAATAATGTTGAATATATGCTGAATTGTAACTGAGTATTTGGTTAGCATGAAAGAGATGTTTAATTTAAGACATGTTTTAGGAGAAAAAATCCTTTCTGTGAGGGTCAATTTTAAGGCTAAAAATAACAATTTTCTGCATTTTTTAAATTTTATTTTGGTCCTTTATCGATGGTCTTTACAATTTAAGTCTTAAATACGAGAACACCTTTTTACACAATTTTCACTTCTTTATTACAATTGCATTTGTGATGTACTAGTAAATAAAATATTTTTATTTCTTCAGAGCTCGGCAAAAGCACTCGTCCGCTCGTCCTGAGGAGCAGATTTTGCTGACAGTGATTTTTATAGTCAACTAGTCTGTCGGACGAGTAGATTTTATGTACTTGGGTTACGATATATACGATTTCATAAAGTTATTACATGTTTCTAATACACTTGAGTAAATTATACAATTAGTCTAATATTTAAATTAGAAAATAACTTTGAAATTGTATATATAATTATCACTGTGGTCAAACGGCATTGTATAGGTTCTGGAAATAGCGATCGCCGAAGCGAGGCAGCTTTTTGAAAACCACAGCATGCTTGTGATCATAGACATGTTTTCGGTATACTATCATCATAACGAGGGTGGATGCAAAACAATAAGTGTATTAATAGATCAACCTGCGTTACGAACTTGAAATATTCCAGAAATGAAACTGAAAAGCACATTAAAATATATAGAATCAATGCGGTTATCACGGCCCGATCGAGGTCGACAATCTCATAGATTATGTGTCAATAATTAAATTACAGATCTCATTCGACACATGGTTTATGTATTTTTTCTTAATTCAATGATTTAAAAAATTAAAAACACACATTAACGAAAGCATTTGTGTTTTTAAACATAAAATAAACAATGATTGTAAATAGCATCTGTGGACATGCTACTGTATGGATAATAGCGACCAGACTGTATGTTAATAGCGCCTG